CTTTAAAACCAAGCTAGATCATGTGCATATATGTTCCACATGAAAATGAAAGATTATTAAGGTTTTCATTTCATAGGTAGAACAAAGGGTAAAATACTCTTCACTTTTTTTTTAAAGTCTTATATTCTCTTTTAATTTTACTGTAGTATTTTATCTTTGACATATTGGAAACTAACACATTGAATTCCACTACTGAGCATAATGACCACAGTAATTTTGTTTCCTATGCATAGTCTTAAAAACTCATGGTTCCCAGTGGTTATAATGCTTTCCCAGGAGCTGCCTTTCTCTGTTATTCCCTTAACCTCTATCACAGGAAACATGACAGCTGCTCTCCAGGCAGCTCTGAAAAACCCCCCTATCAACACCAAGAGTCAGGCAGTGAAGGTGAGTCACAGACCTCTGCTCATGTCTTACTGTTCTTTCCCAAATCTTCTGAAATCTCACAAAATCAACAAATATTTTTAACTTTTTACTGTCTTTTACTTAGAAGAGCATACAGCATGGTTTGATAGGTAAAAATTTCATATGAAAAATAAAGCACTGTAACAGTGCTGCATCATAATCAATGAAAACGGTAGAGAAATCATTTCTGTGTTTTCAGAGAAGGCCACTTAGGCTGAATTCAAGCAAAGGCTTGAATAAATAAAACTTACACCAAAATAAACAAGTTCTGCTTGCCACTTAAAGATTTTTAAGTTATAGAGAGATTAAACCTTTAACATACAAAGCTCAAATATGAGGAGATTTAAAAAATGATCCTAATACCACTACTTAGAGGTCAACGTTAACTATTTGATGTTGCTCTGTCCTTAACAGTTTTTCTGTGAGTTTTTGTTTTCCTAAAAATTGAATTTAATAACCTGCTTTTTCAAATGTATAGCAATGTATGTAAACTTCTTAACAATAAGATTATTTCTGTGACAATTTTAACATGTGTATATACCTATATGCTGAAGTTTATACATAGCTGATCTCCTTTAGTCATATAATTTAAATAGACTATTTTTCCTGCTATGTACAGTACTGAAATGAATTGTTTCAGGTAAATTTGTAGCCACAGACATTCTTTGTTTAATGACTGAGTTCCAGTCCTGTAACTAGGTGATCATATGAATTGGTCACTAAATCAGGAATTGTATATAGTATGCACATTACAATATGCAGAACAAGGCAGTGCTCAAAAGAAACTCCTGATGGCTTTGCTTCTATTTGTGTAGCTCTTACATGCAGTATTGTGATGTATAACATAAAACTATAGTACTGTACTATACAGTACAGTCAGTACAATACTGTGTAAACAAGGTGCACTGTACAAAAAAGACATTGAGGCTCTAACAACAAGATGGAGTACAAAGAAAAAGATGTGTCATAAATCTGGAGTTGTTAATCCTGTTGCTAAACCAGAAATATCTACTTCCTTTCAGGAAATTCCTAGAAATGAAACACCATATCAAAGAATGTACCTTTTAAAGGGCTTTTCCGTGCATAAGTTATTGCTAAGTTGCTGTTAAGGAAAGTTGTGCAACTAACGCTCCCTGCAGCCGTCTTTCACTAGTTCTTCAGGACCTATTGAATGAGTCATGTTATTTAAAAATGAAGCCTAAAGCATCAACCTCACCCTCAGTGGCTATTCGTACAGTTCAGGGCCTCAGAATACCTCTGTAATTAAATAATAGTAAAAACTTAGGTAAATGTATAATAATGAGGCAACAAAAAATTCTGTCGGAAAAAAATTAGTTTTTAAAAGTTGTTAGGAACATCATGGATATTTCAGTCTTACCACCTTCTGCTCTTATGCGGGTGGTTTTTATCACAGCTTGTGGGTGGGAGGTTTTAACTATGGATGCAAAGATATTTTTCCAAATCAGGTAATTGCATAGTCTTCAAGCTGAAGATAACAGCAGGTGGTAGAACAGTCTGTAGAATCCTGAACAGGAGGAATGCAGAAGATAACTACTTGGTGTTGAATAAGAAAAGCGAATTGTTCAATCTGTGGACTAAGTATTCCCTTTGCTTGACTGAGTGGGTAAGAAAACAATGGAACAGACATATACCAAAGAAAAAATATCATAAGTAGATATCACTATATCGATATGAAACTTAACACTTAATAAGTTTTAGGTAACAAAATGCTTTAAGAAAAAAATATTTTGGGGGGCTGGTGAGATAGCTCAACAGACTAAAGGGCCTGCTTAGGCAGAGCATGGCAGCTAGGGCTCAGTTCTTGGCATGCCTGTAATCCTAGTAGTGCTTGGGAGGCTGAAAACAGGAAAATCACTACAAGTCCAACCTATGTAGTGAGACCCTGTAGAGTTTGTACTAAATACATTTAAAAAAAAAAAAAAAAGAAAGAAAAATTAGTTTTGAAGAATAGGACAAGGTAGAACTACAAATCAGTGTTCTTGTTTTGTTAGTATTTTTTTTAAGACCAAGAAGTAAAATTTAAATGTTTTAATAAATTGTTAAATTATCATATCAGTCTGTTAGTAAATCTAATCTCTGCCTGCAACTATGTCAAGAATCTCCCCATTTTTTACAACCCCTTCTGCTATCACATTAGCCAAAACCAGCCAGTATTTTTACACTTACTTCCTCATTGATCTGCCTGGCTTGTCCCTGTTCCCTTACAGCTTATTCTCAACATAAATGCCTAAGTGAGCTTGTTAAAATGAGTCAGATTATGTTACCACTTCTAAAACCTTTGTGTCTTTTCATTTCTATTAGAATATTTATGTAAAAAAAGTATAAGGATTTATGTAATGTAAGTATAACAGTATTTAAAGTAAGTAGCAGAGTGTGGTGGCACACATACCTGTAATCCCAGCACCAGAGAGGCTGAGGCAGGAAGGTCACCATGAGATTCAGGCCACTCTGGGCTGCATAGTTAGCTCAGGACAAGCCTAAACTACATACTGAGACTCTATCTCAAAAAACAACCATAAAAATATTTGAAATAAGTCAGTGTGATCTGCCCTCCCATGGCCTCTGACTGCCCCTCTTGCTGCTTTACTGTGGCTCACCCTACCCACATTAAGTCTGTGGAACACATTGAACCTATACCAGCAGCACATTCCCCTGTCTGAAACACTTCCCCTATCTCCGGGGTTTCCTTTTTCACATCCTTCAGGTTCCTACTCAGATGTCACCTCAGGATTACCTCTCTGAAATTATACCCTCTCACATACAGATACCTAAATGCTCTATTATGTATTTCTCCAGGATCGAGCAGGCAGCATTGTCTTGAAGGTGCTCATCTCTTTTAAAGCTAATGATATTGAAAAGGCCGTTCAATCTCTGGACAAGAGTGGTGTGGATCTCCTAATGAAGTATATTTATAAAGGCTTTGAGAGTCCCTCTGACAATAGCAGTGCCATGTTACTACAATGGCATGAAAAGGTAAGTTAATTATAAATTTATATAACTAGTTCCCTTATAACAGAACATAACAGTGCCTCCCTCACCTAGATAATCACATTGACTTGTCGTTATTACAAATAAAATTCATGACAGTGAAAAGGTTTTTGCCTACCAGCCTTTTAAGAGATTCTTATTTATATGTATATTTCTTTTATTCACATATATTTAGCACATTTTCATTCACTAAATATTGTCTTGGACCGTAACTTAAATGAAAACTTTTCAGAAAAAAATAAAGAATGGGATTGAATCCCCCCCCCTTTTGTACCAGGAACCCCCAGCCCCAGAAGAAAATAAAGAAGAAAAACTCATGATCAAAAGATAGAAACAATCCAAGGTGATCAGGTCATACGTGGTACATACAAGAAAGACTGACAGAAAAAAAAAAAAAAAAAATCAGGGAGAGAAAAGGCAGGTGCGAAGAATGGAAGTATTTCCTCTTATATGAAATAATGTAGAATAGATAAATGCAGAGAGACAGAAAGTCATACTGGTTCCCAGCAAATAGGGAAAGCAGGAACTGGGGTTACTAAATGGACACAAAGCTAACATGAATGTAAGTAATGCCATTCAGTTTTCCACTTAAAGATGCTTAAAAGTGGAAAATTTGTGTATTTTACTTTTTTTTTTAAATCAGGGAAAATCAGAAATTCTTAAGCTTATTTTCCATTTTCATGAATTTTTATTGTAATCAAATGCTGATTCACTACTCACTAAAGAGACAAAGAATTTTGAGCTCCAAATAAAAAGTTGGAAAGGTGATCTTTAATACTCCACTCTTACTGGTTAAAATATATAAATGATATTTAAGTAGAATCATAAGGTAAAGAATATATTCTCAGATACTCTTAGAATTCTGAAAACTAGGTTTTATTTGTTTTGAGGAATTCAGCAATGGTTATTACATTGCATATTGTTGTCTTCAGATTAGTTGTTCAGATTGCCAAATACAAACATGCAAAATTGGTCAAAAAAAAAATTTAAGCATTAACTGCTCTTTTCAGTAGACCAACAGAAATCAGCAGTACAGTTATCCAAGCTATCCTATGTATATACATACATTTTCTTTTTCCCTCCCTTATTTCTTTTCTCCTTTCCGGCATCCCAGTTGTTCCTTCCCTTTGAACAGATTTGTTTTGAAAACTATTGATTATTGTAAGTTTATATGTATGAAAACATATGTGTATAATAGAAAAATAAGTGGGGGTAAGGGATAGGACTGGGGAAGTAGTTCAGTGGTAGAATTGCCTAGGATGTGTGAGGCCCAGAGTTTATCCCTGATACTAGGGAGTTGGGGGGGGGGGCAGCCATAGTGGTCCATGCCTGTAGTGCCAGCTGCTCAGAAGCTAAGGTGAAAGGATCACTGGAGCTCACAAATTAAAGACCAACCTGAGCAACTAGCAAGATAACATCTCAAAAAAATAGGTAGTAAAATTTAGCCTCAGTCAAGTAATTATTATCAAAAATATTTATGGGTAAAGTAACCATTCCTTATAGATTTCCCCATCTATGCCTTTTGCCTATTCATAATTATGAATAATTTTCTTTTTCAATCTAAAGCGTACCAATTTGAACACAATTTATATAGTCATCTTTATTTGTGGAGCACTTTTTGTCAGGCACTATACTTTTCATTTACATTTCACTTAATCCTCACAACGTTACAAGGTCTATAAACAAGTAAAGAACCAGCTTTAAAACCTAAATAGCCTGAAAAAAAATAATAATAAATAAAATCTAAATAGCTAGTCTAGTATAGAGTCAGGATCACAGTGAATGTCAGTTAAGAATTTGTTACAGTCCAGATATTCTTCCAAAGTCTTTAGAATATTAAGTCAGTCCTTCTTAAAAATAGGAGGGAAAGTTTGCTGATATTCCCGTCTTGTAGGTGAGGAAACTGGAGGCATATGCTAAGTCTTTTGTTCGGAACATCAACCACCAGGATTTGTCAGTTGTGTCTTCTAAATTGGTCTCACAGGGCCGGCGGTATAGCTCAGCGGACTAAGTGCTTGCTTAGGTAAGCGCAGGGGCCAGGGTTCAATACCTGGCTCCGCCTGCCTCGCCGGCCCCACCTTCGGGTGCGCTGAGCCGCCAGTGGAGTCCGGGCGCAGTGGCACATGCCTGTAATCCCAGCACTTGGAAGGCAGAAATCAGGAGGATCACTACTAATGTGGGCTATGTAGTGAGACCCTGAGCAAAAAAAAAAGAAAATCCAAAAAAAAAATTAATAAATAAATAAATTGGTCTCGCATCCATCCACTGAATGCCTCTCTAATGCACCAGTTGGCAGCATCTTTCAGTCTGTTGCTATAGCTTCCTGATTTTCCACCTGCCAGTTTTGCCTCTTAAATCTGTTCTTCACCCAACCACCAGAATAACCTCTTTAAAAGCTAAACATGCCCTTGTCAGACACTTGCAAAATAATGAGTATTCAAGTCTGGCCTCATCTTCTGTGTCATTCTTCCTTAGACTATAGCAGTGCCACCCTTTGCCTGATTGGACTGTTCCTTTTCACAGTTGCATACATTTGCTCATGAGTTTCTGGTGTCAGATTTAACATATGCCTCCAGTTTCCTCCTCTACAAAAGAGGAATAATAGCAAGTTTCACTTCTGCATCAATTTAATGTATCATTTTTTCCCAGAAAACATTCTTCTGTGGTATAAACTGGATATATGCTCCTCTTCTGTGCTTTTGTAGCACTCTTAAGCATAAATCTTAGCATTTTAGACATAGTAAAAATTTTGTTTCTATAGCTGTCTCCTTCCAGTAGGTCAGAGATGCTGTTTGTTCAGTTTTTCCCAGTATCTAACTGAACACACAGTGATACACACCATTTTTGGACAGAAGTAAGCCAGAGCTCCCAATTCCTAATACCTCTATTACTTTCAGCATTTCAAGTTAGAATCATAGTTAAAGTTTATAAATTTTTAGCGCTTCAGTACTGTGTGTTCTTACCTTGGGAAGAAAAAAAAAATCTAACTCAGTTTCTGTTAGGAATAGTTTATCTGTGCTTGCTTCGACAGCACATATACTAAGATAGGAATGTTGAGCCCATTTTGAATTTCTTCTGAACTGGAAACAAAAGGTGCAGAACATCCTACATTTGTATTTGAGCACTTGTTTTAGGCAAGAATAAGAACACTATGCCACAGATTTTTTTTAAAAATACTCTTTAGAAACAGTATTGATAAAATAACTATTCCTCACAGTTGTAAATTAGTATACGACTAGAATATAAGCCCATGAGGGCAAGGGCTTTGAAAGTTTGGGTTTTTATGGTGTCTCTAGTATTAAGAACAGTTTCTAATACAGGGTAGGTTCTCAAAGAGTGCTTACTAACTTACTGAATTCACACTCTGGCTATACACGTACCTTAACAGAAACCTTTTGCTTACGTATATGAGATTGGAGTCTTTATGATTGTGTCTGTATTTGGTTTATGTTCAGGCACTTGCTGCTGGAGGAGTAGGATCCATCGTTCGTGTCTTGACTGCAAGGAAAACCGTGTAGTCCAGCAGGAGCTGGCTACCTGCCACGCAAGTGGGAGTTGATGGTACAAAGACCAAAACAACCAAATGCCACCGCTACCCTGTGGGTAGCATCTGTTTCTCTCAGCTTTGCCTTCTTGCTTCCTTTTCATATCTGTGAAGAAAAAAATTACGTATCAGTTTTTTCTTGAATGAAAATTGAGATAATGTAGAGGAAATTTTATTTCAGCAAAAGTATTTCACCTTCTCATAATCATTTCAATGATCTGTATACAATTCTGTATATAGTATAATTTACATTGAACTTTAATTGTGATTTTTAACTCGTATTGGCTGGTTTTTATGTTTTATATTATTTTTAATTAATACTGAGAGATTTGACCAGAATTTGAGGCCAGTTTCCTAATCATTACTAGTCAGGAAATTATCTTTATTTTTTAAAAAGAAAAAGTATATATGAGAGACTGGCAGCTATTCACATTGCAAAACTGGACCATACTTATGTAAGCAAAATGTGTTTTCAGAACAAGTGGTAGGTAAGCGCCACTACAATTTTCCAGCTTTATTTTTGTTTGCCTCCAGATGATCTTAAGCATGAGTTTAAGTATGCTACTACTTTTTAGCATCCACTTATCATGGCCTCTCAATTTCTTTGTGGTCGCCCAGGGTCCAGAGCAAAGCACTTTGCTCTATACAAATGTATCTAAAATATTAGAGCCAGTTTGGCAGAAATATCAAGCTTTTCTTCCCATAATATGGGTCTGTTTGGGAGACTTTCTCCAAATCAGAAAGGATGCGTAAACTATGCTGTAATTCTTATTCTGGGCAGCCTTTGAAATACTATTTTCTTTAGAAATACGGTAGCTGCCTTATACATTATATGGTATATGACAAGTGTTTAATATACCATTTGATATGCCCTATAAATGTTCTCAGTATTCTTCAGGTTAATTGGGGTCTCAAAGGATTTGGTTCAGATCCAAACAAATACAGTCTGTGTTTCAGCTCAGTGTTCTTTAAAAAAGAAAATGCCACACAGCAAAACATTGTTTACTTTGTTGGACAAACCAAATGGGTCCTCAAAAAAATGACCGGTGCTTGTAAAAAGTTGTTAGTATTCAGTGGTTCCAGAATAAACTACCTGAATGCATATGACCAAGAGGGAAATCATCCTGTGTCTAGTATTTACATTGGATACCAGTTTCATAATCACTGACTTACATGCAAACTGGTGCAGAAATTCTATAAACTCTTTGCTGTTTTTGATACCTGCTTTTTGTTTGTTTTGTTTTGTAAAAACGATAAATCAGAAAATAAAATGTCAGTGTTGAATAATTTATTTTTCTTTGAATGTATGGCTAAAAAAAAAATTCCTGGTGCAGCCACCGTGTATTGTACTTTTGACAAGAATTAACTTGGTAGAGTTTTTAAAATTATTATAAATATGAAGAAGTGGAAAAGAGAGTCATTACGCAGTGCTATCAGAGCACTACTGGGTTCTTTGGAGTGAATCCAAAGCTCTCTGGATGCCAGCAGAATTCCTATAACATCATGCCCAAATACCTGGACTCATGTACAGATTTGCTTCACAGGTGCATTACCAGTTTTTAAACTTTCTTACAATGTGAATGATACAGGGTCTCGCTACACAGTTCAGACTCATAGTGATCTTCCTGTCTCGGCCTCCCCAGCACCTGAGTACTGGGGATTGAACTCAGGTCCTTGTGCTTGCCAGGCTAGTGCTTATTCTGCCAAGCTATCTTCCCAGCCCTGAAGCCTATTTCTTATACAATAGTGTCTACTCAAGGCAACCTACACTAAGGCAAAAAGCGACAGATGTAGAAGTCTGAAAATTGGGAGAGGTTCCATAACAGGCATATTTTCACTGAGTTTTACCTACACTTGGATGATTTTTTAACCTAGTAAAAATATCAGGTAAAGAACAAGTTGCAAGAGAAAGCCACACACTTTGACACCCACACCCTCAGTCACTTTTTTGTATAGAATTGTGGGTCTTTACCTTAATCCTCATTTTTAATGGATTTTTTGTTTTTTGTATTTTCATAGATGCTGTATTTAACAAACTATCTTAAGTAATCTTACTATAATTCCATTGGACAAGAATCAGAGCTGGTCATAACAAATTTATTAAATATACACTTAACAAAAACTAAAAGGCCCCAGAATGATTAGAGATAGATAAACCCAATTTAAAAACAGCAATCTTTGAACATTTTAGAAAGAAGTGTTCTAACACAACGCTTCTTTGTCTCTGATCCCATTATGAACCTCTCTCTGGTCTTCCCCTCAGCTCTACATTTCTGAGTAACTGGGCAAACCCTAATGTGTGAACTGTTCTGTGGCACACAGGGCCTGGGGAGCCCACAGATGGCCAACATAGCATGCACCTCTAGGTGGTGCTGCTTCACCACTTTGATGAAGGCACAAGTCCCAGGAGACACAAATGATGTAGACATTATTGTTTTGGTTTGTCATTTATGACCATTGGAAGGATAAGGGTAATAAATTATCTTTCTTTGTATATCACATCCTTTTGAAGCAGATCCCTAAAGAGTGTGTGTGTGTGTGTGTGTGTTTTAATGTATTTAGTACAGGGTCTCGCTGCATAAATTGGACTACTAGTGATTCTGTTTTCAGCCTCCCAACAGCTGAGATTATAAGCATGTGCCACCACACCCATTCTCAATCGTCTAAGGTCTAAGCCCTCAGGTTGTGGCTGGCACTACAAGCCAGGAATCAAACCTTGACCACTGCACTCTGCCTAAGTAGGCACGTTCGTCCTCTGAGCTATTTGGCCGGCCCCCTAACGTCCACATAACATGAAACAAATTGATGAGTACATGACTTCTGAATGTCACAGTCCAGCCTTCTAAGAATCCCATTATTTCTAGCCAAGCATTTGAGCACAGTCTCTGGGATTTCGGTGCTATACTCCAGCTCCCCTGAGTAGCTGTGTCTTATCCCCTACAATCCTTTGGCATAATTGATTCTTAAACAGGTATCTAATTGATTGATTTTTAAAATACCTAAGATGACTCTGTTACATGCACAGTACTCTTGGATACCAGACAAGAACAATGTACCAGAAGCACAAATTGACCGTGATACAAAGTAATCCTCCCAGAGTTCAAATATTCTAGACCCAATCAAGGTTAGGAATGAATTTAATTCGTTTCAGTGTGGATATATAAGCACAGGTAAAAATCAGAGCCACCATAAATAGAATTTTGGATGTGCCAGAAATGCTGGTCTCAAACTCAAAAACAGTCCTCCTGCCTCAGCCTCCTGAGTATTGGGATTACAGGTGTACATCACCACACTGGCAGCTTCTGAGATTAAAAATGCATCACAATACCCTTTATTTCACTTAGAAAGATAAAATTTTTAAATAATGTCTGTGAGCTTCTATCACCTTGATTCAGATTTTTCTAAGCATGTCTTCCTTCAGGGTGATGAGTGTTGTAAATGGGCAATTCCAATGAATATGCTTTGTTTTTTTCCCAAAACCAAATCAAGATTCAAAAAGCAACTTTTAATTTGATAACTGAGTTAAATGCCAGTGTCTTCATTGACCAAAGATTTATAATTTCATTCATTTTAATTTTGTTTTCAAATAAGTAACTTGCTCATACGGTTCAATATTCAAAAAGTTTTTTTAAAAATCTTGTAATCCACCGTAGTTGTCTCTGGAAATCAACTAATACCACCTAAAAATCAACTAACATCAGATTCCTGAGCATCCTTCCGGATTTAATGCATGCACTGACATGTAAACATTATACATTCCCCCTTTTGGTTTCACAAATAAACTAGCATACCACCCATAGTGTTCTGTGTCTTGCTTTTAATTTGTATTTGGTGATACTTTTCTGTCTGTCTACAAAGAATTTATTTTTTTCTGACTGTGTAAACCTCTGTAAATATACTTTCTTACCCATTTACCTGTTGGTTTCTGATACTTTACAGTTACTCCAGTGCTACAGTGAGTAACATTACGCACAAATCGTTTTACAAAGCTTCAAGCCTACATGGAAATTCCTAATAGTGAAATTTTAGATCAAAGTGTGTGTTTAATATTTTGAGGTATTGGGGCTGGTGAGATGGCTCAGTGGTCTAAAGCACCTACTTAGAACAAGCTAAGCTAAGCAAAGCACAGGGACCACGGTTCAATCCCCCAGCCCCACATGCCAGCCAGCCCGCCCCTGGTGGGCTGAGCTGGCCACACACACACACACACACACACACACACACACACACACACTAAAAAAAATAAATAAATAAACTTTTAAAAAAAAAATATTTTGAGGTATTACTAAATTGCCTTCCTTAGAAGTTGTGCCAGCTACACTCTAGCAATGCAGGCAAATGCTTGTTTTCCTGCACCATTACCTACCCTATGAGCTTGTCATTAAGCACTTTGTCTTCACCAACTCAGTAAGTTTTAAAAATCATATATTTGCATTTCTCTTAATGTGAGATTGAACATCTTTTGTATGCATAATAGCCAGTTGTATTTTTATTTTCTCTAATTCTGTATTTACCAATTTGATAATTTTTCCTTATTGACTTGTACTTTTTTATACAGAAATAAGCCTTTTGTTTGTGATAGGAATATTTAGTAGTTCTTCACAGTTTGTGTGTGGTTTATAATGGGCTTTTATGATGGAAAGTCTTTTTTGCTTAATTATTAATCCTATAGAATTCAGGGTTTGAGTAATACGTATTTAAAGAGGCTTAAGTTTCCCTGGTGTTTTTATGATTTTGAACTTTAGACTTTTTATTTTAAAACATTGATATTTTCTCCTCAAAGTCAAAGGTCTTAATGATTAGTTTGTCCCCACATAGATGAGTTTGTCCCCCTGATTAGTCTGTTTGCCTGTAACAGTATGTGGAGGTGTTTCACTTGACACAGCCAAACTACTGCAGCACTTAACTTTGATGGTCAGCTGCATGGAGAGACTCCTCCGAGTGGAGGGACTGCGGCAATGCAGAACTCATGGGCTAACCTGTTAAGTTCATAGGTGAGTGGGCTCCTGGGCAGTGGGTCATGGAGGGGTGGTCTTGTGGGGCAGATCTGGTCTCCTCCTGTCAGGCATTTCCCCAGCTCTCAGGCCACCAGGAAGTGGCAGCCTTTCTCCACCACGACCCTCTGCCAGGATCTTCCTCTCCTGTGGTCCACAGCATCCAGCCAGCTGACTATGGACTGAAACCCCTGAAAATGACCCCGATAAACCAGCTACTCCTCGAGGTCATATGTGTCAGGTTTTGTCCCAGCAATGGGACAGCTAATCAGTACAACTTAAACCGTTATTTCATATGTAAAGGTGTAATTTCACTGTTATTCAATCAAATGCATGCCCTAAAATATTTAAGGTATAGCCTCTCTTACAGAAACTTAGAGTCTAAGGAAG